TCACTAGCACTTACAGACCAACTCCTAGAATATGGACATTTCATATAACATAACTTAATTAGAAAGAAAAATACAAAAATAGGAACTTATAAAGTGAAATGACAATAAAAATTAAGGTGATATCTTAAGTAAAAAATGCTATTAATAAATACAACAACCTTCCCATACACAGTTAAAAACTATTGAAATTTTGCCATTAAGTAACATCGTTAACAGACAGATATTTAAATATTTATTTTCCTTCAGAAAATGTGAACCATATATTGTGGAGCACAATATAGCAATTAGTAAAAACTAGACACTTTAACATATTAAAAGCTTCACCTCAAAAATATAACAAAAATCTGATCAAAATTATAAAAATTAATTATACATTCCAATTAAAAATATACCAATAAACAGCTAAATACATTGTTGACCTAATAATTACAATGCAATCAATCACAGTAGCTTGAAATAAACAAAATAAGCAAATGAGCACAAAACCTTTAATGTTTTAAAAATAACTTCAATTATTTATATTAGTACAAATAGTTTGATTTCTTTTCTTTTTTACAAACACCAGCATGAAAAGGATTAAGGCAAAGTAGTGAAATTATGTACACGGGGCAAAGGTCGAAAAAGGGTTTAAGCATAAAAACAATAAGTGTAATATTGCTTTAAATTGTTGTTGTTTTCCCAAAAATATTTAAAACGTTTTCTGTTTAATTTAATTCAGATTTTGTTTTTGTTTTTCCAAGCAAAAAAAATAAATATCATACATTTTTCCATGATTTACAGAAGACACCCAACTAAAATATCATTCAGTGCAATAATCTTGTCAGGCATATTTGCAACAAAAATCAATTTATGACATATTAAAATACTAATTACTTAAACCCCAAATACTAATTAATTGTCATTTTACATTTTTAAAATTTGCCACTATCCTAGGTTTTGCCCATTTGTCAGTAAGAATTGTTTTACTCATTTAAAACACAATAAAATGTAAAATTCTTTTATATATTTGAATATGTACAAGTCAGAATAAGCATGCTGTTTGCATTTTTACATAAATATTGTGTTACACTGAATGACAACGTAACATTATTTCAACCCAATTGTGACATTTTATTCTCCAAAAACGTATTTGAAACCTTAAAAGTAGACACTTTGCTTAAATGTAATGTGCTTTCTATGGACATAAAATCACTTTTGTACATTTCTTTTGATACGGACATCTTAACGTCTTTGACCCACATATAAAGAAGTTCAGCTTCTCTTAAGTTCAGCTTAAGAGTTGAGCATTTAATATAAATGTTAACTAATACATTTTCATTTAAATGCAAATAACATGCAATTAAGTGTCCAAAACCACTTAATTACATTCAGAAGCAATCTTCATCAAAATGTTATTTCCATTTTCTTTTTTAAAGTATGCTGATGTGTGCTTCTTTGGGATGCCAGCAAAAATATGCAGGCTTAATCATGTAATTCCTGCTAAAGGGTGTGGCATTGATGTCACACGTCATGCACAGCTTCAACTGATAATCACTCTGTTTTATCATCCAAATGAGTTCTGTGATTGAAACCTCTCACCAGTGAACCACCGTGATCTACATTTCCTGTCCCACAGTCTCATGGGAAATAAATAATTAGACTGTGACCTGACTACACACAGTACTCAACCTTTGTTTCCAGAGTCAGAGACGAGGATGATCTCATCTCGCTCTTCTATTATTCTACAGATCCTGTAGCTGGAGAGAGATATAAGGGAACAACTGAGGCATGATCACTGTTATATTAGGGTGGGTCTTCTTCATTACCTCAGCAAGATGGCATCGACCAGTGTGAAATCTAGACAAAGAAGATTCACTGAAACAGTGCCACACTGATCTATTACAGTTGATGAAATCTGTAAAATTATAAAGCAAAGAAATTGCTTATCTCTTGTGGAGTATGGGGTGAAAGAAGCTCAGAATTGAATTAGTGGTTAATGATAAAATCAGAGTTGTGTTGGCTGGCATCGGAGTTTGTGCATTGAAACATTGTGCTATCAAGCATTTATATTTCCCCGATCTGACATCTGCTTTTGATTTAACCATGTTAAATCGATTTTGTCTTTGATTTGTCTCATCTAGACGACTCTGAAAATGGCAAATCTACTCGAGTGTTAAAGCTGCAGTCCGTAAGTTTTGCCTCTTTGTCGCCATCTCTGTTTGAAAACCTGGAATTGCAGCTGTGTGTGGAATTATCTAGCTTGCGGGGGTTGTGAGTCGGCGTGACTCCAGCGCAGATTAATCTAATGTTCTGAAGAGTTTGTGTGGCAGTCAGTCACCGCACCGGTGTGGATATTTACTGTACTTCGCAATCACAGATTCTAGCCTACGTCTTGGAATATGACCCAAATAAGAATTTTCACTGTATATTGCCACCTGAACAAGTAACAAGTCTGGCACATTTGTTCAGACCAACTGAGGAAAAAAGCATTACCACAAATCTCGCTACCAATGGTGATTAAATCTAAACATTACCTCAGCAAGATGGCATCGACCAGTGTGAAATCTAGACAAAGAAGATTCACTGAAACAGTGCCACACTGATCTATTACAGTTGATGAAATCTGTAAAATTATAAAGCAAAGAAATTGCTTATCTCTTGTGGAGTATGGGGTGAAAGAAGCTCAGAATTGAATTAGTGGTTAATGATAAAATCAGAGTTGTGTTGGCTGGCATCGGAGTTTGTGCATTGAAACATTGTGCTATCAAGCATTTATATTTCCCCGATCTGACATCTGCTTTTGATTTAACCATGTTAAATCGATTTTGTCTTTGATTTGTCTCATCTAGACGACTCTGAAAATGGCAAATCTACTCGAGTGTTAAAGCTGCAGTCCGTAAGTTTTGCCTCTTTGTCGCCATCTCTGTTTGAAAACCTGGAATTGCAGCTGTGTGTGGAATTATCTAGCTTGCGGGGGTTGTGAGTCGGCGTGACTCCAGCGCAGATTAATCTAATGTTCTGAAGAGTTTGTGTGGCAGTCAGTCACCGCACCGGTGTGGATATTTACTGTTGACTCCAGCGCGGATTAATCTAATGTTCTGAAGAGTATGTGTGGCAGTCAGTCACCGCACCGGTGTGGATATTTACTGTACTTCGCAATCACAGATTCTAGCCTACGTCTTGGAATATGACCCAAATAAGAATTTTCACTGTATATTGCCACCTGAACAAGTAACAAGTCTGGCACATTTGTTCAGACCAACTGAGGAAAAAAGCATTACCACAAATCTCGCTACCAATGGTGATTAAATCTAAAAATCAGTTAGCTCATTTCACATCAAACCGTTCAAATTATTATTGTTGTTATACTTTATTCTCAAATGATTAATGTTAACAACATCAGAGTATTGTGTGTGTTAGCGTGTAGATTTCAATTTCTGCACAGTCTAATCTAATTGTCATGCTCTTCGAATTTCATGATAAGAAAATCCGGTAACACTTTACTTGAAGGGGTGTGCATAAGACTGACATGACACCTTCATAATCATGACATGACACATGTCATGAATATGAAGGAGGTTTTATGCATGTTTATGACAACTGTCATTAAGTGTCATTCACTCAGTTATGTCATTTGTAATGCCAATATAACATTAATTTGACCTAACCTAACCCTAGCCTTACCCCTAACCATAGCCCATAACAAAGACATCTCAAACAATGTAATCTTTGCATTAAAAATGACATAACTGAGTGAATGACACTTAATGACAGTTGTCATAAACATGCATAAAAAAACCTTCATATTCATGACATGTGTCATGTCATGATTATGAAGGTGTCATGTCAGTCTTATGCACACCCCTTCAAGTAAAGTGTAACCGAAATTCCTTTAACCCAAAAAGCAAATTATGCTCCCTTCGAACTGGTTTTCTTTAAAATACAAATCTTTGTAATCCCAGGCTATCTGTAATCAGAAGCACATTTATTACTGGAATATCATTTAATTTCATTCACATGTGTTTCATAAACACATAATACTTTATGGCTTGCAATCCGCCATCAAAATTATACATTTAATTATTCTAGCTGCTGTGAGAAAAGGCTATAAACGATCCGCCACCTGCAGGATCCTCACATGCGATAGTAATTACGTGACGTAAAAACGTGACGTAATTACGTAATTTCCCGCGAAAACCTACCCGTACCACTCAAATTAGAAAACATTATTATAAGCCAACCGTTGTGAATCGGGCTAAAGTAAGGCGATATTTTTGAACACTGGCTGGTTATGTACTTTCTCAAATATTGATTTCAGATCATTTTTAACCAAAAAAAAAGTTACGGACTGCAGCTTTAAATATGGTTTATGTGAATATGAACAGAAGTGTTAAGAAAATGGATTTACAACAAAACGACTTAGACAAAGAAATATAATCCAAAGACCAGATAAAGTGCTTACAAGATCAAGTAACAAAGAACTACATTTCCAATAGAACCATTCAGAGACAGCAGGTGGTGCCACTGAGAACAATAAATCAGAACATAAAACCTAATGATATAAAAACAAAATAAATAGCTTCCGGTGTATTTAGAACTACACCCGGTTTTCTAAGGCAATATACATTTATAAAATGTGTATTTAAAAAAAAAATCATTGCAAAGAGTCTTTATCTGGAAAAAGTTCAAAAAAAGTATTGCACATAACAACTCCAAGTTAACTTGCAACATTTACCACATTCAAGTCTTAAGTTCCCCTTCCTCTAAACGGGTTTTCATTTACTTCAAACAGACAGTGGGGATGAAGTTCTCAAGTCTTTTCTAAAGAAGATGCTTTCGTCCTGCACTGCAAATTCATCCAATGACATTTAGAGTTCTCTTTTTTTTTTACGCTTGTGTGTATAATCCTATTGATATTGGATTATGGGGAAGGCATAGAAGAATAACATGGGAAGGGTGCAGGGTGTGGCCTTAAACGAAGGTTTAGAAACATCTGGTGCACAACCACAACAATTATTTTCAATAGCTAATTCATGTACGGTTTTTTTTTTTCTCATCATGCATGCTAAGGATTACAATAGGAACTAGTTGGCAGTTCAAGAATATATATTTTCAAATGTTAAAATATCTAAACATCAAACATCCATTCTTTTGATACGAGGATCAGCCTAAACATGAACCAGATTTAGCATTCTCCTTATATTAGAAGTTTATATTCCAGCTTTGGAGAGGAAACCAAAAAGACAAGGTTATCTTTTAGCCATTTTGCGCAATATTAACATGAACGACAACGTGTTCTTACCATGCTGCTGTCAGATCATTTCCGAATCTAGGGCTGCCATTAAAATCTAGTGTACAAGAGCCAAGACCTTAAGCAATACACTTTGATCTCTCCTCTGCAGATTTGTCGCGTCAACACAAGCAAGTGCGTGCTTAGTTGTAAAGAGTCCTCAGCACTGAAATGTATAAAAAGCATAATTGAAAATAATATATATTAAATTCACGCAACTCTTTTTTTTTTCTCTTAAAATGAAAATTTCCATATATGCAGATCTCTCAGTAACAAAAGTACAAAAGCTACCTTTCACAATGTGAAAAATTGAGGTATTGCAAAAAGGAGTTTTTCCATATTTGTGAAAAATGTGCCTAGAATGACTGTTGAAAAAAAAGAAAAAAAAAGTATTTAGAAAAGTAGTGCATAATAAATGTTTATATGTGCGTGACAAAATAATTTAGCTAGAAAACACTGTACCAAAAATCAGCAGGCCATGTATAAAATAATCTCTTTTTTTTTGTTGTTGTGTTTGCCATCTCATTAACAGCAAATTCTTCAAAAAGTGTTTAACTTCAAAAACGTTCAACCACCACACCCACCAGCTCAAGCCGACACGAGGATACATTTCTCACTAGTGTATCAAGTCTTAATTGATCACTAACTCCCTGACTTTTGCGCTAGTCGATTTAAATGCCTTAAATCTACCGAATTGGATATCCTGATGCATGGCGTAAACTCCTCAACAATACCCGACTGCCGAACTACATGCGTCTCTTTCGGTTGACCTTTGGAAAGCGGAAAAGTGGTTTTCACTAGTGTTACTAGGACTTGTAACTGCATGCTGATCGATTCAAGGCCAATCTTTGGTTTGCTGGAGCCCATCTGGTCTTTATATTGAATGGGATGAGGACTGGGTTGGGTTGGGGGCAGAAATAATCAGGCAAAATTAAATCTGCAGGGCAAAAGAAAGGAAACGTTCATGGATTCGCTAGATACTACACAGCCATCTTTGGTTCCCTAATGTCTGAAAGTAAAGCCTCTTATGTTTCAGGTGAGCGTTGGGGGAAGGGGCCGAGCGAGTGGAGAGATGCATGGACTACCTTCAGTTATGCTTCACACTCAGGCTGAGCGGGCACGGCTGCTGCTGGACAGGAGGTACATTGTTCGATCGTACTTCCTCCCTTCTAAGTAGCTTTCACTGTGGTTCTGCTTGTACGTACACCTCTTTTCAGGCTTTTGGGCTTCGGTTGGGGTTGGGTTGGGGGCAGAAAAAATCAGGCAAAATTAAATCTGCAGGGCAAAAGAAAGGAAACGTTCATGGATTCGCTAGATACTACACAGCCATCTTTGGTTCCCTAATGTCTGAAAGTAAAACCTCTTATGTTTCAGGTGAGCGTTGGGGGAAGGGGCCGAGCGAGTGGAGAGATGCATGGACTACCTTCAGTTATGCTTCACACTCAGGCTGAGCGGGCACGGCTGCTGCTGGACAGGAGGTACATTGTTCGATCGTACTTCCTCCCTTCTAAGTAGCTTTCACTGTGGTTCTGCTTGTACGTACACCTCTTTTCAGGCTTTTGGGCTTCGGTTGGGGGGGGGCCTTTGGGGGTGGTGGCTGGGGAAAGGCTTAGGAGACATATTGCGAGTCAAAAATTAAAACTAAAAAAGGCTTGCTGCTAACAGCCTGAGAGAACGAGCTTCTTGCTAAGCTGGACCAGAAAGGAAATCAAGTTTCTTGCATTTGAACCAGCTTGCAGGCAGACTACTGCAACTTTAAAAACATACATTCCCCACTAGGATGCTGAATCTCAAATTCAAATCAGGAAGTGACAGAGCAGATTTTCTCAATGTGCCGTTTGCTGATGTCATTTCCTTTTTATATGGTCCTGGGGAAAAGGGTGAGACCAGCTTGATTTTTTTTTAATATATATATACTATATATATATTCGACTTAAACTAGCAGCTAAGCTTGAGGTATTAGTTTTCTTGCATGTCACAATGGAGATCAAATCCAGACAGCTGTTGTGGAATCAGTTGTTGTCATCAAGAAACATTGAAGATTAGCATGGTCTTAAAGTACAAAGTAAAGTAAAAACAGAGCGTCGAGAGAATTCACTTCTGTTCTCAAATCCCAAGCTTTGGTTAACAACTGAGATCTTAGACCACACATCTGCACTCTGGGTAGCGAAGAAATAAGTGCACTCTTCCCGCACCTTTTCTTTTCACGTTTGCTCCTTCGCCTTTTCGATTAAATTAAAATAGGACGTAATACTTCCAATCGCAATGTTAACAAAAAGCCAATTCTAAAGTCATGCAGATACTTACTGACAAATTATACTAATACTCAATATATTCACATCTCTGTGCACTTGAAAATGAAATATAATGGAGTTATAAAAAAATAGAGATGGATTAGACATTTTCTTTTTCTTCCTGAATCTTTTTTTGGATACACATCCATTTTTTTTTTTTTATATATTAAATGACAAATTAAAATCATATTTTTTTGTCTGTCTTTTTAAAATTAAACTAAAAAGGAACCAGCAACAGAAAAGTGCATTTATTTAGATGATGATTTCACGACTCCTCCTAGCCTGCTCTCCCCCTCCTCTCTTTCTCCCTGTCTTCTCCTGGCCTACCAGCTTTAGTTCCAGCGGAAGGAGATGTGGCGAGGTCTGTCGCCGCCTTCCTTAACCAGAGGCTTGTGGGACTCCCCGCCGGCTGCTCTCCCCCTCCTCTCTTTCTCCCTGTCTTCTCCTGGCCTACCAGCTTTAGTTCCAGCGGAAGGAGATGTGGCGAGGTCTGTCGCCGCCTTCCTTAACCAGAGGCTTGTGGAACTCCCGGCCGGCGCGAGAGTGGATGGCCGCCCAGCAGTATTCACAGTAATACTGGAGACAGGTCACGTTAGCGCAGAAGAAAGGCGCGAACTTGCCTCCGCAGCGAGTCCCCTGACATTCATCGCACAGCTGGTCATCCAAGACGTATGGCTTCACTTCCACCTGGACCGAGAAAGATCAGCAGACTGTTACGTGTGTGTATTTTGCATTATTTTGACAATTTTTTTATGAGCATGAATTTTGTAAGTTGTCAGTAATTCCTATTATTCGCAATATGAACTGTCATGACAGTTATAAAGTAAAACAGCAAATATATTAGATTTAATATTTTAAAATTAAATGAGTTTTTCTAGTGAGTTTTTCCCCCTATTTGCCTCTTTTTGTTCTATTTCTTTGTTCTGTATTGTTTGGGTAAATCTTTTCTTCAACTGATTGAACAACCATATATTTTGTTTTGTAACAAAAAAAATAGATATTGCTAAAAATGGCAATACAGCAAATACTAACACAATGTATAAATACTTCACAGACAGACAGATAGATAGATAGATATGAGAATTAGGGGAAAACATTGGGAGTGTGCTTATGCATTTTTTGTGGAAGTCAGCACTGACCCGTTTATCGATTTCTCCATGCTGCAGTTGTACAAAACGAGCACTGATAGCAGCAATGTAGCTCTGCTGATTAGAGAAGGCGACCCGCCCTGCTCCCTTGGGGTACTTCAGCTCTGGGTCTGTGTCGATGCCTGCGTAGCACACGCCACCATACAGCCTGTCCATGATCATCGCCAGCTCCACTGTCAGAAAGATAACATATTTAATGCTTAAAGGTTTAAAAACATACAAATTAGACTGCATCATTCTTTCTACCGCTTTCAAACTAAAATAAAATGGCAACTCCCAATATATTTGAGAAGTTTTGCCTTGAAAAGCTACTTTGAAAATAGTCTGTAAAGCTACAAACTATTAGCAAGCTACAGTTTCACTGCTCTTCCGATCAAGCAGCTATACTACAAGCTGTTAACAAAGTTACTCAAAGAGCAGTGCTTCTTAATATGTTACAACAAAGTTGCTTATTGGTCTCCTAATAACTACTCATTAAGGTACAAAAAGATTTTTTGCCAGCAAGGAAGATTCCATCCTCTGTGATTAGGGGAGCCACTAAAATAGTAGCTGAATGCAATTCCATGGCAGCTGGATTGACTTGTTCTGGCATAAATTAAACCCTGGCTACTCTAAAACAGTTTGTATGTGATCACATATTTAATTTCACACAGAAAAAAAAAAACTCCATACCTGCACGAAGTGGGCGTGGCACCCCACCCACAAAAATGGTCTTCCTCGGGTCCAGGGGCTGTGATCCATCCATCACAAAATCACTATCATTAAGATTCCAAGGGCGAATCTGGACCTGTTACAAAGCCACACGTCAACAATAAATGAAAAAATAATCCACAACAGAGTTTTCAAATTCACTGACAAATAAAACAATAGCAGGTCTTCACAGAACAAATAAGGACAAAATAATGTTTAATTTGAAAATGCAGCCGTTTAAGACAAAAAAAGAAATTCACTATAAAAACTGAGGTGCAGTAGTGTAATTCATCCTTACAGGTTTGTCTTTAATGGTGGGGCTGGAAACACATAAATAGAGCTTTCCGTCCTCCTCAATGCAGGCATCGATAAGGGCTTGAACAGAGCTCTCATCTTGAAACAAGAGGAAAGCGTAACCTTTGGAAAAGAGAATTTTTAAGTTAGTAAGCAGTGGGACTGGCAGAAGTACTACATTTTACATTAAAATAATAAATAGAAAATGCACATTACCAACACAACTCCTGTCTTTAAACCTAATCGTCAGTACCAACTTTAAGGGATAGTTCTCCCAAAAATGAAAATTCTTTAAATCATTTGCTCACCCTTAAAGTCATTCCAAACCCACAACCCTTCCATTCATCTTCAAAACACAAATAAAAATGTATTTAATGACACGTAAGAGATTTCCGTCCCATTGAAAGTCCACTCCACCAAAACTTTCAAGCTTCAAAAAGTTCACAAAAACATCACAAAACTATGAAAAAACTTAAAAGAGCCAGAGATTGTTTTATATGCTGAACAAATTTAATTTAGGCTTTTATTTACATCTAATTCATTCACTGTTCAAGCATAACCAATATAAAGTGATGGTGTCTCATCAGAAGACTTCACCGGTCGATACATATGGATTATTTTTACAAAATCTCTCAGGTTTCCTTCTTCACTTGTTTTTTTGAAGATGAACAAAAGTCTTATAGGTTTGGAAGGATATGAGGGTGAGTAAATGATGACAGAATTTACATTTTTGGGTCAACTATCCCTTTAATGGAGTACTCAAGTGCTGTCATGGTGATCAAGCCAGCCACAATTAAAATATTAGTATGTGCCTATTATGAAAATTACTGTTTAAAAATGGCCTTAAACTAATACTCTAAACTCTTAGCTCACCTTTCGGGGGGAAGTATGACTTGCTCTCTGCTTTGTGAGGCCAGTCCACAAACAGGTGCCCGAAGCG